GCAATGGCACTGATGGCCCTATGATTTGCCTGGCCCAAATCCTGAAAGGAGTGCCTGTAAAGACTAAATTGTCCTGTGCAAGTACATTCACCACTGTCGACCTTCAAGGAAGTAAGCAAATCACGAAGGCCCAGGAGCTGACGATGATCCCGAGCCCGAAGGAGGGACACCAAATCGATCAGATGATGCCTCAACCCCTCGAACAACACGTCGAAGGAAATGTGATAGTCCCAGCCAGAAATCTGCGCCACATTCTCCAATCGCCTGGTGGAGAAAGACAACTCCGCCGCAGAGCAGTGCGCCATAGCTGGGATCCTAAAATTCCTCGAAGAGAGCTCGTGCCGAGATGCTTCCCGGCACTCACTCTCCAACATGTCACTTCACACATGCTGTGTGTCACTACAACACAGCATATCTGCTGGAGAGGACCAAGAACACCTCTCTCTCCCTGTGCAAAGTCAGCCACGAGTTCGGTAGCTAGATGGGTACCAAGCCTTTCTTTCTTTCTTTCACCAGGGTTACGACCGAGGGTGTGGAAGCCTTTCTTTCTCCCTCTCTCTCTCTCTCGCTCTGCAGGCTTCTGGGTCACGCGACGCTGTCCTGCATTATCTCTTCCGGGTCCTCCTGCATGGGTGCACGCAAGACTGGTACCGTGCGCATCCCTGCACGCTTGCAGGGCGGGCCGTGCTGCCTGGGTCGGAACTTGGAGTCTCATCGAAACATCAGCTGAGGACCTTGGCTTGTGTTGTCCAGGCCGAACAGAGGACAGCCTTCCACATCTCAGGCGACAGCCCAGGGCCCACCTGCCAAAGAGTTCAGCTGCAAGATGCTGCAAGTCATCACGGGGTGCAAGATGGGTCAGACGGGTCTAGTTACCTGGCTCCCGACATTTTGTATGTTTCTCAAACTGCGGCCCCGAATGCAGCGAACACAGCAAGTGGGGAGACATGGCTGGGCCGGGCCTGTTGGCTGATCGGCACGACTTCGCAGCCGAGAGAGCTGCCACTGACCAAACGGAGGCTGGTGCCTTCTGGCCAAAAAGTTTCTCCTGTGTTCCTGCCAGGCTGAGTAAACAAGAGCAACCTGTACAACTCCGACACGCCGACGAAAAAGAGTAGGCACCCAGCGTCAAATGCACAAGAAGTTCAAAGGAGGCCATCCGTTTAGGTGAAGACTTGGTAACCTTGGTCATTCTGGTATCAAAGGGTCTTCTCAACCCGTGTCGGCAGCTCACTCTCAGGCTGCGAGAAAAATTTTGCGGATTGACGATTGTATCCTCGTCCGGGACTGTATTTGAAGGACGGTTGCTAAGATCATCAGTTTATTTCGGGGGGGGGGGGGGCTGTTGCTGGAAAGCTGCGAAGAAGACAGCCAGCAAGTCAAGGTGACGTCCGAAAGGTCGACACAAAAACTAACACACGCAGCTCTCATCGTGTCATGAACCCATTGCCGTGCGTGCAGTTCGGAAGATGCCAAAGCTAGCTGAGGCTACACAGGCGGCATCTTGGATACATGTTCGCACTGCTTCGCTGAGTCTTGGCTCCTGCAAAACCTGCTAAACTGTCAGGAAGAACCGCGTCACCATGCCAGAAATCCAAAAATCAAAAGAAAGACAAAGGCGAGGCGAGCCCAACTGAAAGCGCAAAGGGGAGTTCACTTGCTATCCAAGTTGGTCGCGAAAGGCTGTGCGCGCGCTTGGGCTGTCTTCTGGTCGAATTTCTCGATCTGTTCATTGGCTTGAGCTGCTGCACAACCTCCTGCTGCCTCTCGGTAGTCCAATGGATCATGCTTGTAAGCGCAACGAACACTACCAGTAACACCATGTCAGCAGAATCTGCAGCTGTGGAATTTCTTCGCGGCGCGTCTAAGGTAGACACCAGCACGACGTCTTGGTTTCGGTTAAGACAAATGCAGCCGATAAGAAAGAGGTCTCGAAAGGCTTGGCATAAAACGCACGAGCCTTGGTCCATGTTTCTTCGTTTGTAAACATTGCTGACGAGTATGCAGCGTGTGCACGAGCCCTGGCTCTGCATGAACTTGTAGACGGAAGTGGGAACCTACTCTTGTGCTAAAGCAGGTGTGTTGGGCCGTCGGCGGCGATGCTGCCAAGCCGGTATGCCTGCAATGGGCTCCAGATAGCTTTATGCTGCTGCATTCGTCCGAGTCTGAAGACATTCAATCGGTGCCTGCGCCATACCTGTCTTGGCAAGGTCGGTTGCCCATTCCTCACCGTTCCGCCAACACTGATAAGCTGGCGAGGCCGTGTTTCGTTTGGCTGTCCTCGGAAATATCACCCACTCTTTCCGCATCTTCCCGAAGCGCCTCACGCATTGGCAAGAGCCTAGAGTGTCTAGCATGGGCCTCCTGCAGGTCGCAGCTTGCCCTGTACATGCCCAGTCTCTCGGCCTTGTCACTCCAGAGACGCCTTGGGGCATCGAAGATGCGAGCAGAGGCTTTGTGCTCCTGCTGCAGATGATGGGCTGGAGCTCATTCCAACTCGGCAAGCGACACGCACAACCTGCCTTGGCCTTCAGAAGCGAAGTACCTGAAACGTCTTCCTCTTGCTCCAACTCCTCAGGGTGTCGAGCGAAATTTTCGAGCACGCTTCTTGCATTGAGTCCTGGCTACTGAAATTGAACCCTGCTTCACGGGTTCCGTTCAGGCCTTGAGAGCCCTTCTTGCAGCGAAGCGGCGAGCACGAGCAGTGGACCGAACACGCGGTCGTCTATACTCAAAGCCCACATGGATGCTGGAATCACATCCTGGTCCAGGCACATCGCAATGCTTGTGTGCGATGCCAGCTGGCAGACTACGCGGAGCAAAATGGTGAAACAACGATAGCTGCCTCGGGCGGCAGTCTTAGTCGCAGAGACACCTTGCAATCTTTGCCAGGCTCGACGACCTGGAGCTACCGAAGAGGGCATGCACTACACTCACTACAGTCACTACACATGCATCCCCACCGCCTTGTTTTGCATGTTCTCTTGCGACCAAGATGCCCCGCTCAATGGTAGGCTTGAGATGCCCATGTCCGACCCATGCACAGCCTGCAGCACCGCCGAGGACCTGAGGGCAAGCACTCTTTCGTAACCCATTTCTAATTGCCCACTCGTGGTGTGGCAAGACAGACACCGCATGTATTCTTTGTGTGTTCGGGCTGCGCCATGCATTCAGCCTCGGAACCTCCTCTGAACCTTAAGAGGCACGGGCAAAACAAGTTGCAGAATTCTGCTGTTGACCTTGTGGATGCTTTAAAACTACACAGGTCGGCTTGAGGCGAGGGTGGATGCCGGTGGGATGCCGTAACAAGGCATTTGTCTTCCTGATCGGGCGAGATCTTACAAGTTTGTAAACCTGCCCACTTCAAGTCCCTGTTTTCGACAGGAAACGAACAGCGCCGTAAACAGGAAGATTACTGACCAGAACCTGGGCCGAAGCTTGCCGCGATCATGAGGCTTCAAGGTCTGTGGCGCCAAAGACATTTGGCATGGCTAGTGCTTGATTAGCCACTAATTAAATAAAGGGGCAACATCACACACAACATAGCATCGCATCGTCCGAATCTCGATCTGCCGGCCGCTAGCGAAAGCCCGCAGAAACCTCAGACTCGAGCCAGGCGGTGGAGCCTGTGTTGGTGATCGTGGCATTCAAAGTAAGACTGGAGCTCCTCCCCAGTCGCTGTCTGAGTGTCGTCAATATGTGTCCGCGCCGGAGAAAATCTAGCCACTCTGTGACATGTAGATCAATTCAACTCATGCGATGGTCCTCGATGAATGCTTGGAGAACGTCACCTTGCCCAAAGCGAACACCTGCCCCCACGAGGTCATGTGTGCCTTTGAGCTAGAGTAGATATGGGAGGCAAGGGGAAGAAGGGGCGAGAGAGAGAGAGAGAGAGAGAGAGAGAGAGAGAGAGAGAAGAACTGCGAAGTGGCACCTGCTCAAGGGCAGGGTGCTGGTCCAGGAAAGCGTGCCAGTCATCTGACACATCCCCGCTAGTCCTATGAACAGATGTGCTTCTGTTAGGTGAAGTTGCGGCAAATCGTCAAACAGGTTAAAACCCATCACAGCAAAGACACCGTTGGCTCATTGTGCAAACAGTGTGCTGTCCTCGTGTCGATGCTCACATAGGGGCCATGGGACCTGGGTGTCTCCCCGGAGAAAGGCGAGCAGAGCAGCCATGCCCACTGCTTCTTGGAAAACATGAGGGTTTGCTCGACAAGATCCAATCATCTCAACTTGAAAGCTTCTCGGTTAATCTGAAAGCTAAAGTAAAGGTCAGCGGTCGGCACAATTCCGCCTCGAAGCTTCAGTTGCCGTCCGTGTGCGCATGGTGCCAAAGCACAAAGTAACGTGACCCTGTCCATTCCTCTTCTTCTCCCTGCGTGCGTCAGATTAAGCCTATGCCTGCGCCTTCACGAACACTCCCAGTGGTTTTCTGCTTGCTTCCAGGGCCACTGCGCGACGGATGCATCCTTCAAAATTCCAAGGGAAAGTCTGCATGCTGGAAATGGAGGGTGTAAACAACGGGCTGACATAACATGTGTGGAACCTCTCCCTCTTCGTCTTCTGGTTCGCTCATAAAAACGGCATGGACGTGGCAAACACGAGTGGCCCTCGCTCTATGTTGGGAGCTGCAAAAATGCCAGGCCTGTACCGGCCACAGCAAACCAGCAGACTTGTCTCTGCAGGACCCGTCGCATGCAGTATGGCCGACAAGAGGCCAAAACGCAGCAAGCTGGCCCCGGGAGGGCAAGACTAAGGCGACCAAAGAAACTGCAGACTTCGGATGGACAAATGACGAGCACATCAAGGAAGGGCCCTAGAAATAGAGACGAGCAAGAGTACCAAGGCCGTGCGAGGCACCACGGACGAAAGACTCCCAGAAAACTTCATTAGACAACACGATGCGACAAAGTCATGGCAAAGGCAATTTCATGCCCCGTCCTTGACCATGCCATGATAGTCAATGGCTGTGTCCTGCACTTGCACTGCGGACACAAGCTCCGGAATGCATGGGATAAACATTCCCTTCAATCGGATTGGAGACCTCAGCGTTGCCCGAGTCAGGCCTTGCCTCTTCCTCGGCATGCAGGTAAACCGGATCGCCCTCCCAACTCTTGCTCTTCCTGCATGGTCTCTGTTCGTCACTCATTCGTCGCACATCTGTTACTTCCTGTCCTACTGAAACACCCTCCTTCGTCCACAGCTCTTGTGTGGGGGTGCTTGGGCAGTCGACGTCTTTGATAATTGGATTTGGGGACTTCCACCTAGTCTGGGGCAGTGGCCTCGGGCGGCGCCAGATCACATGACGTTTGACATGAGTGAGCAAGATACGACAAGCTTGCAGTCCAGACAGACAGTCAGTGGCAGCAGCAACCCAATCGAGCACTGCCACCATCCCGCCCCCGATCCCCCATCTCTCGCTCCCTGTCTCTGTCGGTGAAGGCTCTTTCCGGCTAGTTCGACGGCAATTTCAGCCATGTCGGCGTGACACAAGCGGGGGTTCGTTCAAGGGATCTGTGGGCGAAGTCGACGCACGCATCACTAAAGCGATGTGGTTACCAGTTTCTGGTTGGCCTCGATTCTTTTGCCACTGGGTTTATGCAGCCGAACCTCTGCAACAGTAAAACTGCTACACTATGTAGGCTGTGGGCACCCCGTCCCGCCCTTCCTGCAGCCGAGCTTCTTCAAGCACACCTGCATGCGGGACAATGACCACGACGCGACTGTCTCACTGTTTCTGCCTGCTTCAGGATCTTCGTCGGACGAGTCCGTGCGCTGGTCAGAGCTGATGGGAGAGTCGTCACCAGGTGGCACTCCTCCGAAGGAGGCACCCAGGCGGCTTTCAAGCAAAGCACAGCTGCCTCCAGAAGCCGAAACTGGCTCAGCTGCAAAAGTCTCCTGTCGATTTCTGCTCCAGAGGCTCAAGTCGCTGCTGAGACTTCTGCAGTCCGCGCCTGCACTTGGGGCTCATGGCTTCGCCAGCCTTGCCCGTCTGACGCCTCTCTGTGTCCGAGCTGGCCCCAGATCAGAAGCGCCTCAGACAGGGAAGGGCCAGGGCCAGGGTAACTGACAACTGAGAACCACTTTCCAATAACACCAAGACCACTGCCAGCAGGACGCAGCCAGCAAAGGTTGCGATTCGGTGAATCCTGGCTGGTGGTTCCAGCCAACCTGGCTGTGACTCAGCAAAGCGACAGGTCGTCTAGGGCTCTGCGGCACCTCCGCCCGTTTCGGCTTGTGCAACCCGAGGAGGCCTCGCTTTCACAAAGAGTCTTGCGTTCGCAACCACGCGCGGCGCCCACCTCGAAGATGAGGAGGAAGAAATGCTTCGAGGCAGCGCATCCAGGCCCTCAACATCTTGAGGATTTCCTGCTTCTCCTCCAGGAGAGGAGTGGAGACAAACCTCCTTGCAAGGCAGCTGGCCAGGGCCCACGGCCTCGACCTCCACTTTGGCCCTTCGAGAGGCGCGCCCGGCGCTGCTGCGACACGGTCTGCGCCAGGGCACCAGGACGGACGATGACGGACGGAGGCCGGAGCTCCGCGAAATGGTTTTACGAGTGCATGCCTGCGCCTGCTATCGTCGCAGTTGCTGTCGGGGCTGATTGCTATTTCTTATTCGCGTGAGAAGGGGCCGGTTCTATGCATAACAGCAAAACACACGCCACTCGGCAATCGTGAGGCACCCTTGCTCAGGCTTGAAGCTGGCGAGCAGTTGCCACTTGCCTTGGCCATTTCATCTGACCAAACTCGTTGCCCACGCTTTGGTGACATGGCATTGCTGCCCTCGCACTTCCTGCAGTTCACACAACACTCCGGCAAGGCCAAAAATTATCGCGAAGTTTTGCCGGATTCGCTTCTCAACCACTTCTCAGCTTCTGGCTCCATCCGCCGGCGCAGCTTTGCTTCCAGCTCCGCAGTTGTAGTGGCCATGGCTGGAAACAGACACAAGTTCCCTGAACGGTCTCACATGCTGTATTGCTCAGGGCCAAGCACTCTTCTGGGATCCGGGACTTTTCAAGACACTACGGCACCGAATCACACATCCCTGAATGGAACTGGCAGCTTTAAGGTGGGCAACTTCCTAGGCATTCCTGCTTCGACGCTGGCAAAACGACAGTTGATTCGTCTTGCAAACCATGCAATAAGAACTGTCCAAGGCCGAGGGCAGCTGGTGCTGCTTTTCAGCATCATGGATGCTGAGCAAGGTGCATTGTTTCTGCTGAACACACTTTGGTGCACAGTGGGTCTTTGCTGAGCTGAGTCTGAAGGCTACTACAGCTCTCCGGCCTGGGCTGAGACACGTACACTCTGACAGTCACCATCGCTCTTGCATCGGCGAAGTGCCGGCATGTGTGGTCACACGACTGCTAGGCCTCCGACATGTGACCGAATTATCACGTTGTCCTCAAGCCACTTTTCGTACGCCTTGTTCGCCCTGATGGGCATCCACTCAAACTCCAAGCCGCCGAAGTCCACCACAACTTGTTCCTGCTTGCAGCAAGTCTCTGCCTATGGAGCTTCGATCCTAACCCGAGCTTCCTTGCTGGCACTGAGTGTCTTCAAGGTAATGTAGAAGTCGTTGCCAGAGTCTCCATGTTTCTCCACCTCTCTTCCAGGATTTGCTCAGCAAAGGTGCATTTGTTAGACTGTCTTGATTCTGAGCGAAATGCCTGTGCACACGCGGCATATTTCACCTGGAAGGGGGCAACACAAGTATCACTGCATTCGTCGTGCCAGCAACTCGTCGCCTCGACAATTGACTTCGCCAGCCCTTGGGCAATTTCTGCAGTGGTTCCATTCACCTTGTTCGTTACAATGGTTGGTCTCAGCAGGCTGCAACTCTTGGGTAAACGACACTGCCCAAGACGGACACCAGCGCCATCCCCATGACATACTTCAGCTCAACTGCTGGCGCATCTGCAGCCGCTGCCTCCCAAAGCAAAGTCGGCCCGAAGATAAGCTGTTGCTTTCGACGGGATATAGCCTTTTGGTTCCAGTGCTATTTTCCGGTAGACGTGCCTCTCGAGGTTTTGCCAGGTTGGCTGAGCATGTAAGCATTTACTTGGCTTAAGAGCTTTATGAGCTCGGACTCGCCAAATTAGCTTTTAGATGCGCGTTGGGCGGCGACACACAGGTGAAGAGTTCTTTGCAAGTGATGCTACCAAGGTGAATTTTGACACTCACACTCGGACAGGCCAGGCAAGGTCTCACGATCTAGGGTGTGGGTTGCTAGGCTTACTCGTTCCTCTGTAAAGGCTTTACTCGGTTTTCGAACGAGCCCACTGGAAGTTTTTTCAGCTCTCGTACACTGTATACAGAACATGAGAAAATACGAAATGGGAGATGCATGTCGCTTCTGTAAGGAAAAAGCATGAACACTGATACCCACATAACATCGACCGACTGGACCAACGCTGACACAAAATAGAAGACAAAACAGCACCGAAAAATGAGGTCCTCCAATCCGACAACACCTCCCGAAGTGCCTCACCCTCAGGTGGGAGCGCGCTTGAGACAATCATGGGCAAGTCGTATGGGTGCTCTGCAGCTATCGCTTCCATGAGAGTGGCAAACGGAACCTGCCAAGGCCCGTCTGCTTTGGCAACGATGTCATCAGAGTGGCAAGACTGGGGTGAGGCCTCGGAGTCTATGGTCGCACGAACTTCCTGGTCTTCCTGCTAGAGGGACAGCCGAGCAAGAGCGCAGCGGACTCCACAACCCAAGCAGCAGCCGTCGTGCCTCAATCTTCGAGTCCCACCAGTAGAAGGAATGAATGTCTTCCATGTGGAAATGCTCGATGGTGTGGGATTGAGCTTCTAATCGCTTCCTGGCTGAGCACGGCCGCACCGGGACTTTCCCGGAAAAGTACTCTCTACAGCAAACGGCCGTCTAACAAAGTGCCAGTTGTGCTTGACCGCTTCTTCCAGCGTCTGCCCTGCCGTTCGGTTGGCAACCGTCGTCGACCTGATGGATCGCCAGGGCACGAAGTGGACATCGGGAGACATCGTTACCTCACAGCTCCTGAGGCCCCGTCGCCCAGTCTGCTTGGGCACCCGCTACCAGGACCAACAGCAGGCCGTGAGACATGCTCATCTTCATCGTTTTGATTACCATGCACAGCTTCAGGATGGCGACTCTTGGACTTCCCTGGACTGTGCTGCGCTCCGACCCAAACTTACAATTCAGAAGAGATTGAGCGTAACGGCAGCGACCCCATAGACGCATCGTTGCAACCCTACAACGCTTGTGAGAAACATACACTTTTGTCTGTTGCAGTGCTCACTTCTCGTCTCACAGGTTTGGGAGGGGCCAAAACCGATGCCATCCACTTGTTTATCCTCTCTGCGAGAGCCACAGGCCAAGAAGTTGAAGTCATCGGTGAAACCCCCGAAATGAGGCTCGTCGGAGTTCCCCTAAAGAGCAACTCGACCACTCGTGGTGAGACTTAGTGCTCGGGCTCGGGAATGGGAATGCTGTGACTGAAAGTTTTGGAAATACGCCAGGAGCTTTCACATTCTTGGAAGTGCAGCTTGTGAGATGCACCGGACACTTCAAGAAGAACACAAGCCATGTGAACAACTTCCACGTTTATGACCCGTCTTCATTCATCGCCTGCAAGCACCCTCTCAAGAATTGCTGTCCTGCTTACGCCCTCTTGAAATGATCTTCCCTGCATCTCGCTGGGGTTTGACACGCTTGCCCATGCTTTCAGGAATCCCACGGACACAAGAAGACAAGCTGCAGATGGCCACTTTGTCGCAAAGAAACTGTGAACACTCAAGGGACTTAACTGATTGTCAGCATTTATTTACACTAAGAGACATTCCAATGTTGTTAGCCTGCGCCACCAGAAAGGCTCAAGTAGACATGCTCTAGAAATCGTGGGAATTTACGCTGATTACACGTGATTACTACCCCTTAAGCCCAGGACACTGACAGCAGCCCGCTGTTCGGACTGGCTGCCACCCGGCCTCAAGCTCGTCTAAACCATGTGTCATTGACAAGCACGGAAGCCGAGGCACCGGCTTTCGTCTGCATGGCCAAATCCTCTCGGGGATTTATTTGGCCTCGAAGCCGACGCGTGGGGAAGCTCTTGCCATGCATGCTTCAGGAGCAGGTGAAGAACAAAAGCGCCAAGGCGCCTTCTTCCCAGCGTCGCCCTTTGTTGTTTCATCCTTCGGTGCAGGCTCGCCCGTCGCATCCTGCTCGTCCTGATAATGCAGGGTACAGATCCAGGGAGCAGATGGCAAGCCTGCTGATTGAATGAGACTGAAGGGAACAAGGACAGCAGCGGAGCCCTGAGGCAGCAGCATCTGAATCCAGCGGCTCCAAGTACGAATTGTCACAATCCTGGCTCATCTGACATGCAAAACAACAAAAGCGAGGACAGCCAGCCTGCGGCACAGAACTTCAGGAATCTTCAGGCCTTCAAGGTCTCGTTCTCCCAAGATTTAGTCAAAGCCACCACTTCAGCCTGTGCTTCCTGCACCTGTCATAGACAGTTTCAATTCTTCTGGGAAGATTTACAGCGCAGGCAGAGCACAGCACCGCCCTGGGCCTGAAGCTCCAGCTGCTTCTGCTGGTAGGATTTGATGGGAGGTCGGGACCCTGGCCGAAATTCGGCAGTCCAGCTGCACACGTGGCAAAAGTCCGAATCGAAATGAATCGAAGGGACGCGCCTGTCGACTCCATGACAACAACGACACTGCTGCTGTTTCGCCTAGCAAACACACATAGCGACCTCTGCCTTTTGTCCTTAGGCGTTAGGACTAACAACTCACATCCGAGCGTGCTGCGGCTGGGTCTTTTTGCACATGCCACGGTGAAAGGTGCTCCCGGCGATTAACCCTCCGGCCTGGCTTCTGCTCTCTCTGTACATGCTACAATAGTATGTGACAGTCTAGCCTCTGACAGACAATCTGGCCTTGTAAAAGCTTGGCTCGTACTCCGGAAAGCGAAAGCACTTGTCACCTGGCATGCTGCCGTGCTCGGACCTCCTCATCCTGCAGGTCGGATGCGCCACCTAGAACTCGGCAGTCAATCCCATTTCGTTGGCCGTGCAAGTCGCCGACTCGCGCCTGGGAGTACCAATGACGTCGCTGACTCGCCGACATGGGCAGCGCTACAGTATCAGCCTTTCGCGCCATCTCGGTGGTGACATCGACCTCTAAGGCCTGGCCAAACAGACGAAGACCAGGGCTCAGCCGTGCGAAGGCCCTCTTCATAAGGCAGGAGCTGGTTGATCGCTTGCACGCAGACCATTTTCTCGGTAGACCGTCCTGACGACAGCTTGCGGGGTACAAGAGCTAAAGAGCTCTTCCATTAGGAATGGACTCACCCCAGCTGCGCGCCTCTTGCCATTCGGCTTGTCCTCGGCATTGGCGCAAGTCACCGCCAGTCCAAACCGAGAACAGGCAACTCACAATAAAGGTTTAACAGCTGCCTGCTATACTGTGTCGAAACAAAGACAAGAACCTCGGTGTTGCTTGCATCGGTGTCTGCTGACTGCTTGTAGCGAAACTTCCAAGAAGCATTCCCGTTTCTGATAAGATCCGACAGTAAGTTCATCCAGCTTGATTGTTTTTTGTTGCCGACACACACACACACACATGGCGATGTTCCTTGCATTCTTGAATTTCGTTGCCGGAAGGTTTTGATCTGCTCGCTTTTCGTAGCTGCGAGGAGCAGGTCATGTGGAAGCAAAGCGATTCCGTTGCTCCATCAGAGTATGATCCAGTAAGGTGCCAGCCGAGAACTCCGCTTTAGACTCGACCTGCTCAGGATGTCGCAACTCTGAAGCCGAAGCTCTGAAATGCTGAATACGCCTGGCGAACATGTCGCTTCTCCGTCATCGTGTAGACCTGGCATGCCGAGTCGCAGACCACGAGCTCTACATGCAAGCACATTAACAGACCTTGGCCGGGTGCTGCTCGACGATACCGAGGCCTTCCGGCCTGGCTATGACGGCCAGGAGGCCAGCTACATGCTGAAAGCGCTGACAGCCCTTGCAGCAATTGCAATTGCGCCAGAGAAGCTTTTCCACATGGAGCCTCGGCAGGATTTGTGATTGAGGGGGAGCCCCTTAACCTAGAGGGGGCCCAGTGCCCAGGAAGGCAGGAGGGGCAGCGCATATTTCCAGGAAGGCAAGCTAGGTAGGTCCCCCATCCTGACATATCCTAAACAAAACAGGATTCCCCCCCCCCCCCCAAAAAAAAAAAAAAAAAAA